CCCAAATTGTACAAACTGTTGAGACAGCCCAACAGCCCACATGTATCGAAGACAGCAGGAGCTGGAGCAATCTCAGTCCTTTTCTCTCTTGTTCCTAGCTGAGGGATCCCTTCTCTTCCCTTGCCCTTACACTAGCAATTACTGGAACCAAATTAAACTTTGTAACCCAGCAGGCAACCATCAGCAGCCTTCTTCCCCGCAGACTTATGCTGCACTGGGCTATGAGCGATTCAATGAGTAACAGGACAAACCGCAGCATAAGCAACTTGCACATGTAGCTTGAATTAGAAAGGAGGCAGCTACACAATTTTGCAAGAGAGCTGGGGTGAGGTTACAACTCACCAGCACCACCATTTGATGAACTTTTCACACTAAAAAACTCATTCTCATGAACACCAAATCTAGTTAACCTCTATAATATGCCACCATTTCTGCAGGAGCAGTAACAGGAGCACAAATTACACGGAGTCATAATAGACAACACAACAGACATCTCCCCTTATTTCAAGTGTGTGACCACAGGCATTTAGCACCTTTGAGCACGAGAAGTAACTGGGGTTTTTCTTTCCAATCCTTGTTAGTCTGACAAACAAACAAACCTCAAACATTTCAGTCTACATGTAAGAAGCACTTACACCCTGCAAATAGGGCTGTATCTCAGACACATTCAAAGGTGTTCAGTGTAATTACAGCTGATCATCTCTTCTCCATTTTTGTTCTTTCCAGTAAGCTGCAGAATACCAAGTATAAGTTCAGGTCATGGAGTTGGACACAAATTGAACACTGTTTTAAACTCATTCATGTCAAGTCCATCAATCAGTTAATAACCTAGTAGGCACAAAGTGTTACTCATTCCTGTTAGGCTGAGTAATTTTCAAAATGGAATATACTATGTAATCCAACACATTTTTCAGAGAGTTCTTTTCATATGCATTAGATTTAAATGCCAGCCACACAGGTGTGCAGAACCTCTGCAGGACCTATTCCAGCAGTCAGTGTCTTCCTTTCCCATTATTTTTTACAGTTAGTTTTCACACTATAAGAGCTCTTGTTTTCATAGCTAAGTGGGGTAAAGCTTCCAAAGCTGGGAATAGTGTTCAATTAGGTTCCAAATTTTGCAAAGCCTTCCTGTTAAGGGATTTCTTGCAACATTTACTTACTCCTTTACTGGGTTATTGGATGTCCATGCACTATTAGATCTCATCTACAACAACTGGAACAGTTACTTGAGAAGTTTTAAAAAGGAAGATACCAAATACCATTTATGTTCATTACAGAAAGTTTATTGCACCAAATGCCGCAAAGAAATAGACCAAAATGATAGCGTACATAAACAACTATAAGAAAAAAATCCATGTAGCTCGACATTGGTATTCAGTCATTCCTAAAAAAGCCTATGCTCTCCAAACATGCAATAACAAGACACGTTTTTCTACTATGGAAAACCTGCTATGTATTTCAAATTAGCCCACTTGACCTGAAAAAAAAACCCAGTCTAGAGTATATTCAGCAGTTCAGATTCAATTTGGATTTGGGTCTTTGAGGGATAAATTATCATTTTGTGTAAACTTTATATACAAGAGTTTGGTGTGTCTGAAAAGGGTTTTTGACTTTAATAGTGAAAAGGCATGTAGTAGGGAATGAGGAAGATCAATCTATAACTCTGGAGGATGCCATCAGAAATGTGAATTGCAGAACCAGTGTCTATATGTTTCTTTTGGGCAGATGAAAGTTGTATGAATTAGTTCTGAGAGTACTTAGTTAAATTAAAATGTTTAGATCTTGGTATCATTTGGGGTTAAAAAAATTAACTTAGATTAAATACTACAGTTTAGCAGTTATTCCTTGCCTCTGTGTATGAAGGTTTAGTCTTGCCTGGGAAAAAAAAGCATACATTCTTTAAATTGCACTGTGTAAACTGCACTTATGTGGGATGTTGGAAAGACTGTGCACTCCCACTTAACCAAGAAAGTATGTATTTAAGTTTACAAAAAACTACATAATACTGATAAAACCAACTTTGGAATATTTGAAAATTAAGCTACATTATCAATTTTAAACACATCTGTACATTCATATAATTTTTCATCCTATCAAAATAAAAACAGAAACATGCCCTAAAGATGTCTAACAACACATCTGTAAATACTTACTGCCCTGTCATGCCACACTAATTTACATTAACAGCAAGATGCTACCAAAAACAAGTTAAAGACTTAAAATCAAAAGAAGCCCTAGAAGGTGGAATCCTGTCAACTGAGGTAGTACATTTGGTGGAGGGGAAAACATGTATTTAGCTTTCTGTAGTCCAGAGCCTTTTAAAGGTAATGACCAGTTTTTTCTTGGATTTTCTTCCCCCAAAACTAAAACTGTGAGAACAAGATAGTTCATCATGTAAATTCTGAAGAGCAGCAAAATGTTAGAGAAAGCAGCAAGAACTATAAAGTTCTAGCTTGGGTTGAAGAAAATCCAAGTGCTTTTGACCACTGGCTCACATGCCACCCCCGGGCTAATTTGAAGTCTTGCCCAAAGTCAGATTTAATTTTTTTTTTTTAATAGCTGATGTAGTAAAATCAGGTGTTACTGATCATGGCATTAGTCTTGCAATCACTGAATGCTGTCTGACCTTTGACTTCCTTAGTACACTCTGTGATAACAAAAGCACATATTTCCATGTTAGCACACACTTCTTTGAAGAACTGTCAGTCTGTTCAGATAAAAACACAACTAATATTTAAGAGAACTGGAACTGACTTTTAATGAACTCAGCTACTATTTAAGAGTGTCATGGAATAGAGAAAGTACATGAGGATTTCTATATACATTCAGGGAAGCAGTTTTGTAGCCTTACACATGCATGTACACACATTCTCCATCACAGGGGTAGTTTAGGAATATGTGACTTGCTCTATGGTTCTTACTTTATATCTTAACCTTGTGGAATAGAGTGGTATCTGCTGACAGCTATATGCAGAGGTAAGTTAACTTTCCAGCAGATAGGCGTCACAGACCAAAAGACAGGAAAAGCTCGCTTAACTGCAGGTAGAACACATGAACCATAGAAAGATTTTAGCCTTTTTAGGCAGAATACTAGGGACAAGTATGAAAATGCAATAAAAGAAACATATGGAATGTCAGGTCAGAAACCCAGCATACAAGGAATAGCTTTAGAAGCATTGTATCAGAATATTAAGTAATCCTCTACTTGGAAACAACCTCTCTTCACAGTAGGTCAGTCTACCCATTTCCCTCAAAAAGCAACACAAGGTTAACCAAGACCCCCATCACATTTAAACAACTCACAATATGCACATTTCATTGTTTCAAATCATTGAAAGTTTACTGTAGAAAAGTCCAAACATCAAGGTAGTAGGAAATAAAAACACTTTTAATAAATTGTGTCCCTTCAGTGTTAAAAATCTGTAATCACCAACGAGGAGAACTCACAAACGGTGACCAGGAGTTTCTTATTAGAATTCACTATTCCCAAGCAATTGTGTTGCTAGCAATATGCTTGCAAGCTCACCATTTCAGACACCTCATTCATGCTGGCTCACAACAGAACGGTCCAACATTGAGTTTTCCATTTCTTTAAGAATGTCTGTTTTGATCCTTTGTTCTCTCTCCTTAGTCTGGTCCATAGTTTCATATCCAGCCCAACAGTACTTTACACAAAAAAGTCAATTTTTTACATTCATGTTATCAACCAGATGAAAACAGTGAAATACAAAAGTTTATTTTGCTTTCTAGAAACACAGAAGGCCAGTATCAACTAGTGGAGAAGTAGTTTCTGGTCTCAGAGTAGTTAACCTATTAAGGAAAGGCACCCGGATGATAGTTCAAGATTTCTGTAGCATCAAAGAGGGTAATTGCAAACATTCATAGTAATATCAAATACTGGGGTTTTCCCCCTACATTTCATTTTACTTCAAACAATGCTCCTCTTATTCCTACTAAGAGACAACTAGTAGCTGGAAAAAAGTAATACTTGTGACTAAGGGTTTGGTGGGGGGCTGATTGTTGTCTTCTATTTCCCCAGTAAGATTGTCTTCGGTTTGTGCCCATTGCTTGGTGTAGTGCACGTGCACAGACATGCACTAACAGCACTGGTATACAAAAGTCTGTCAAATTCATACTCCTCGGCAATAGTAATACTCGATGACACCAAGACACAGGTTTAGTTCCCAGGACTACAGTCATACAGAAACTCAAAAGAGTTATTGAAGTTGCATCAGCAACAAATGTAAACTTGTAGCAGAAATTCCATAAGGCTTTCCCACAAAATCCCTATCTTGGAAGTCCATTCCATTCCACTTCTAGCCATGGGCTCATCTGAATGCCTCCTCATTAAAACAGAAGCAGCCATAGCTTTCTTAACCTCTTCTTCTTCAAAGGAAAAGTCACATGACCTCATGCACACCTCCATTCTCACATTGCATTTGGCTTCTGAATCCAGGTTCCTTGTTCTGAGCCCATCATGTCTACTATACAAAATCATGTGTATGCTCTGCTAGAAAATGTCCCATCTAATACACTTGTGTATAGGAATGCTATATACATAGTTTACAGCTCCTCCTCTTCCCCAGCAAAGAAACATACACCACACTTACAAGCCTAGTATTGCAAAATCCATTCTAACCCATGTTCTTTTAACTGTTACTTCATGGTTTTGAGCAGCTTTTGGACGGCAGCTCCTGGTCTGCCGTATAGTGTTAACTTTTGTCCTTTGAATAAAAATAAAATGCAAGGATGCAGTCATTTTCTTGCTTTAAGTCAGAAGTGAGATCGTAAGAAAAACCTGAATGCCTTTTATGTCATGTAAACTGAAGTCCTCTCATAAAACATCCGCTTGAAATCAGAATCAGAAGGTGTAGAAGGTACAGGCATCACCTGCTTTCCTCAGTGTTCCCCTTTACCAGTGTTTGGCACCTCTGTTCTTCATTCAACATTCCCATTTTGTTTGTTTTACTTTAAGGAAATGACTATCCTGAGATTCTAATTTATAAGAGTATTTGAGCAACATACGGGGAATGAGTACTTGCTATAGCAGCCAACAAAGGCAAGTCATTGGATTCAATCCTAGAAATTAAAAAGAGAGACAGACTTTAAAATACGCAATCACCTTCACAAAACAGAAACACAAGAAGGTATTTTTTATCCACTTTAAAGAAACTGGAAGTGTCTTGCTATACTGAGTTACTTGTTACATTATTATTTCCATTACTCATTATATACCAGTAAAGGTAGGTAATAATGTTTAAAATCAAGAAGTATGCTACCATTTAAGTCAAAAGATAGCAGTGTTGTATGTAGTGGTATATAATCTTTTGGGGTTTAAATAAAACCTTTTATTTATTTACCAAACCATAAGCCTTAGCTTTAATCTTACCAGTCAGTAGGCACCAATAAGCCCATTTTAAGAAAGTACTAAACATCAGCTTACAGAAGATTCTGCATTTCATGTTTTGAGTATAACTCAGTTCACCATACAGTAGCACTTTTACCAAAAAAGACCAAAATCTGGAATGAATTCATTACTGTGCAATAACAGTACCAGGAATGTCTCTCAAATGCAGTGTTTGGTTTCCAACCATTTCCAAATGTAAAGCTGCTCAGAGGCCAGGACCTATCCATATATTTTTATATATATATATCTGTACACATGTACACACACTGAGAAAAGTGCTTATTTCTGGGTTTCACTTACTTACAACTACAGTTCCCAATATGAAATCCTGAACAGCCTGGATAAAGATAAATTAAGTTTTGCCTGCAGTGCTAAAACCCATCTTCTTGGGAATGTGTATTCACTTCTTCCCCTTTCCCCTCTTCTGCTGTCAGCAGGTGCATCCCTAAAGATCATATGCCAATCAAGTACTATTGTTAGAAGACAGCTGCCAGAGCTGACATCTGTTTTTCTTACACCTGCTTTTTGAGAAGCCTTCTTCCCTCAATATACAACTGCACCACCTAACCAAAAATTTTGAAGTATTTGTTGGGATGAAGCTTTCATCAGGGGAGACTGAGACAGAAGGAATGTGTATGAATTCATGGATAACATCCTCATGACCAAAATCCAAACTTTCTTCATTCTGAAGATTTAAGAATGACAAGTAACTGGTTCTTGCTGTAGAACTGTTTCCTTTTGATTTCCAGATGGTTCAGTAGAACCCACTTTTACACTTTATTAGACAAACAATAAAGTGCTAGATATGAAGAAGCAAGTCCTCATGGGAACAAGATACCAACATTCAGAAACTGGAAAAGAAAATAACTGCCCCAAGTTTTGCCATTAACCAATACTGTAATACTCACCCCAATACCATTCCTAGTTCTTTTACATGCACTCTTGTATGTCCTCGCAGATATTCTGAAAGCATTTTGCTTTTGAGATACATCTCTTGTAGTCTATCCTCAAGATGCATTATGCACTGTAAACACAGACCAAAAACCTCAGAACGGCTTTAGCAATTGCATGCAAACTTTACAGGAATGGAAGCATATGATTTCAGCTTTTATCTAAGCTAGAATATCTTTCGAACTAAATCTCCACTCAAAAATCTAGAAGAGGCAACTGGTTTTGTTACAGCTGTGCTGGCACCATTAAAAAGTTAACACTACCCCCTCAAAGGGGAACCCCCTCATAAAACTGGGGCATTCCAGCTTTCTTGGGCAGCATAAACAGCACATTCATTTCCCACTCAAGTCAGCCACAGTGTTTCTGTTGACCTAAATAGTTTTAACCAGGCTCAAAGACACTCAAGACATCTTACTAAGAATCAAACCAGACTACTTGGATCAAGATGTCTTTGTTGTCAGTACTATTTTTTCTGAAAGACTCAGTTTAGACAACAGCTCCTAAAATTAGCACCACACCTCTAGGGATCTGCATTCAAGAAACTAAGACTCAAGAACTAGACGACACTATTATCTTACTTGTCATAATTTTATAGCTCTTCTGCTCACTACTTTACAATAGAAGCTAGGTTATGAATCCTTTTTAGCCATTTGTATTAATTAGTTCTAGGTACTTCTAGTTTAAAATTGCTTTAACATTTGGCTGCTTGCCAAAACATAGTAGTTCAAACTGAAAAAACAATTTAATTAGTCCCCTTTTCTTTCAGCAGTAGCATGCTAGAAACGTGTGTTATTTTTAAATACAGCCATGTGATGCATGGTAATTTCTCACACACCAACTGCAGGAGAGCAGATGAACCTTAGCTTCAAAGAGAGAGAGCGTTTATTTTCATAAGACACGGACAGCAGGTACGATGTCTTCACAAGATGAGTAGGTAGGATGCCTTATCAGGTATTTTGTTCTAGGACAAAGGTATATTCAAATTGATATATTCCTTATTTCCACCATGATGACCACTTCAAAAAAGTTAAATTAGTTCAGCTCTCCAAACTCCAGGAGATGAAAGCAGGAAATGCATGCAGAACCTCATATTATCAAATATATAATCATCTGGCAGGTATAGACAGCAATTAGAAACAGTAGCAGCAAACAGCTTTAGGCCATTGCCTGATGTACTTTTCAAGTTGAATGAAAGCCATAAGTATTAGAAACGAGATCCTGTGAAACCAGTTCTGGTAATTAAAAAATAATGGGCAAAGAAAAGACTCATACTTGTAGGTAGTCTACCATGTATTTTCTGGTCTGGAGCAAGATGAAGATTTTTAATGATTCTCTGAGTTTATATTAGGTCTTAACCGTGGAAGATAAAGAGGCATTATAAAAACTACTACACAGTAGTAAAGTAAGATCACTGCCACCAGTGGAGGAAAGGCAAAAGTGTTTTGAGAGTAGTTTATCTATTCACTTCAAGTGAGTTTTCAGTCAAGTCATTATACTTGTAACACTTTTGATTCTAGCTGAACGGGAAATACTCTTTTCCATTACAGGCAACCCTAATGCAAAAAGCCTATGAACACTTCCTCAGTGGTTGAAGGGAGCATGCAGCTGATTCACAAAGTAGCAGTTCAACATATTTCAATTCCAGTACTCACGCCAAAGGATTATGGATTTTATATTATTATTTTAAGGTGTGAGGGAGTAAGGAAGAATCTCACGTTATTCTAAGAGAGATTCTTTATAAGATTATCTTCTCCTGATGCAAAGAATCAAAAAACATTTCTCCCTGTAAGCTTGGTACATGAATCCATTTTGTTTAAAATGTCCGCAAGTTTTGGGTTTTTGGTTTTGGGTTTTTTTTTTTTTATAACTGTTAGCTTCCTCTGCAGCTTTCCTCATTGACTAAATGGAAAATACAAAACAAAACAAAAACATCAAGTCACTTCTAAAAGTAGGGAAGTAGCTAAAAAGAGTTTAAACACGCAAGTAAAACTTTCGACATATTGCTGACATGCAGCAGTTAGGAAAATCACTTCCTTCTCACCGTGGCACGTTGCGAAGCTCTCTGCAGTATGGTTACCAGCCTAAAGTGCCACAAAAAAGGTATCGCCACTTGCCTTTCATCCAGTTTCAAAAGTTGGGCTTTGTTTTTTGTTATACCACAAACCCCAAAAACGTACTCACCTGAGCAGTAACTGCATGTAAAAAGAATGTGCACTCCCCTAAAGGAAACTTCAAACATACTGCTTTATGTTCATCTCTGATCAATATGCTTTTGTCAAAATTTAAATCAATAGAACCACTACAAAAGAGTCACACTTCTCCCCCTAGAGTTTAGTGGAATGCAGTTTCCATGCACCGATGGTTTTGTTTAAGTAAAGAGTTGTAAAAACCACTGACAGAAGGATCAAAGTGTATCTCACATGGATTATAGAAAATTTACAAACTCCTAGCATTGTCACTTCACTGTGCTGTTTTCCAAGAAAAACTGAAATAAAAAAATCCCTGAAACATATTCTACCTCCAAACACCTCCCGCACCATACAAACCATACAGAAACTGCATACACAAACACAAGGGCAACATTGGAAAGAACGATTCAGTTGCAGAATCAACTATTCAGATTAAAAGTGTCAGAATTTTAGGTGCAACTGTGCAAGCATTAAGATATAATTTTAACCAAAGTTGTATATTTTTCAATGCCCAAAAGAATCCAGAGACAATGCTGACAGCATATTTTGCCTAGCATTTGACTTCAAGAACTTAGCATAATCAATACCACTAATTTTATTCAAAACAGTGCAACTAATATTATTTACAGCTGTTAGTGTTCTATCTTCCTCTTCCATCTGCTAGCACAGCCATTACACAGGCTCCTACAAAGTTTCTCAAGACTATCTGCTGAAGGACAAAGCAATTCAGTTAATTGAAAAAGGAGTGACTACTGAAAAATCCAGCCTATCTCCCCTCGCCTACAATCATGCGATAAAACTGCATTATAATTACCACTGTGACACTTGTGGGTAATTTTGTTGTAATCAGCAAAACCAGCATTACTGATTTGCTCTGATCAGAGCAAATGATGAACTTTGATGAACTCCACTACTAACGAGGACAGGAAAGGATGTTGTGGGATAGGAATAATGCAATATAACAATCCCCTGCTGCAATCCATCCACCCCCAGGTGTTTTCAGGTTTTAGTCTCCTCCCACAACTCTATGGGGACACTGGCAAGGTTACCTGAGACAATACTTGCTGACAGAGCTGGCTAAGACATGCATAAACAGAAGGATCAAGTAAACACAGGCACAATTATTTGGGGAGGAGAGAGGAGACATCCCCTGCATGGGGTTGGATTGAAAGCCCAAGAACAGTAAGCTGTATGCTAGAAACAGTCTTGGGTAGATAGAAGCTTCAACAACTTAAAGACAAGTGTGGAAATTATATAAACAAAAAAATAAAAGCCAAAGTTACGAGCCCTAAACATAAACACACGAGAACCATGCTAAAATTCCCTGAACAACTTTAGTTTTATCATATATATTTTTGAGTAGTTAACTTGAATCTGATCTATTACATGTAAGTTAGAGATAAAACAGTATCTGTTACTGGACCGTACCATTCATTCTCTCAAATATATTGTACAAACTCTGAGTACTTCAGGCATCAGTTCATTGGTATAGCAGCACAGTGTACAAAACTCTGCTTTTGCTACTTAAGCTAAGCAACTTTCATAATCTACAGTCTCCAGTAAAGAAATACTTACAAAGTCAGCTGGGACGTTGAGTTTGTAAAGCTGTAAAATAGATTGCAATAAACTGGATACTTGACTTGAAACCAAAACATCCTTGCCTAACTTCATATTGTCCATCATCTTTCTCTGGCTTGTAGCTACTTGTACGTTCCATTTATCTGTGTCTGCAATAATGCAGACAGCTTCTGCTATGGGCTCATCTAGCACTGGATGCTGCAACAGATACAGAGCACAAACATTATGGAACACTTTCATATACATTTTCGCAACTCAGTTTGAGGTTCTACTTTTATTCACACTGAGGCAGGGAATAAGGGAACCAATAGGAAACCAAAGGCATCTCGAAAATGACAAGGAACACCAACTTCAGTGACAGAGTTTAGGTCCCACAGCATCGGGTCAGTTAAGTCTTAACTAACAATTTATTCAAGGCATTTAAGTAGTGCTTCAAAACTACTACTCCAATATTTTTCTTCAAATATTCCACCTTCCCTCAGAAGACAAGTTTCTTCCAAAATAGAAAGAAGAATAATTCTACTGATCCAGTGCGCGAAAGCATATTTAATGTTTCAGAGCTATATGAAGGATTTCACTCTGCACAATCAAGGCAGCGTATGTATAAAGAGACAATATTGTATAAGACCAATCTGGTATTGTTTAAAGAAGTTACATACATATGCATCACTGTTCCAGATAGTACATGAACTCATTCTAGCAGGATGATTCTTAATTGCTGCAGAACAGCAGTTGACAATTACTAGATAAACATTTAAAATTGCATACCAAGGTCTCACAGTTACTTTAGTGAAAGGTTAGTTATTAATTATATAATTTAGGAGTACCTGAAGTACAGTAAGAACTTGGCAAAGTTCCTGCCTATAGACACTTTCTGTAGCTAGTTGTTCTGCTACAGTCTAGTATAATATAAGCCTCCACAAGACTTCATCTCCCTTGCAACACATGCCACTAGTAGCAAAATAAGATGTTTCAACTTGCATATAATTTTTATTATATATAGATAATTGTCTGCTATTGTGACTGAGATGCAAAGCAGTTTGAGGTTTTTTCCTTGTTTGTAACTTGAAGTTGCAAACAATTTTCCTTGTGTTTATCTCTGAAGAGAAACCTGAAGATAGTATAAAGGAAAGCACAGGTGATTCTTGTGTGAACAGGCTTTGCATACAATGCATTAAGGGTTTACATCTTCCAAGAAGGAAGACAGGTGTGGCTGTTAAAAACAGCCACAGTACAAAGAAACCTCTTCAGAGGACCTGCTTCTGTAGATCTCAGTAATATCTCAACTACTGCTGTGACTCAGAACCATACATTAACTCACATGCATTGCATGAAGTAGGTCTGCTAGTAGACACTGCTTGAGTTTTTCATCATTATTTATTCCATGCAGCACTAGATCAGGTACATATGTATGACAGTAACCACCTAGAAGTGATCTTCCAAAATTTTTCACACATTGACTGCTGATTGTATTTGACCTGAAACACAGAAATACAAAGCAGGTAAGATCCTTGCTTGACAAACTGCATTCAGATTTTACACGAATGAGAAGTTTGTTTTATTACCCCTGCTTCTACTGCAAGTATCAATCAACACTGTACTCAAAATACACAAAACCAATTACTGGTGCTCTTTCAAAGAAATATTTTAAAAGCTGAACTTGAACAATGTATCGATGCCTTCAAATTTACAAAAAGGCAAATCTACATGTATTAGAGCTTGTGGTATGAATGAGCTCCCAGTTCTGCAGCTAACAGATTGCTAAATTTGCATTTTCTCCAACTCAGCCCAAGCAGCAAACTCTTTCTAGTTACCTACCTTAAGCATGAGCAAACTCCAATTGTACCTGTAAAGCTCAAAAGTCTTCAAACAGGACGTCTTTATTTCAAATCCCTCTTTGTCAAATTCGCTTGTCCTCAGATGTTTTGTCTAACACTAAATGTTACAGGCAGTTTATATAAAAAGCAATCAAAAAGACATATGAAGGGCATCTTTGTCACAGAATTTCACTACCTAAACCCGCTCTGGCTTAGTTTTCTTTTTGCCAAGCCTGGTTACAAGAATCTTAACCACATCAGTGTTTGTTACGGATTTGCTTGCAAGGAACCTAGCTAAGATCCCAGAGGATTTCAGACTTTAAATCCTGAACACCTCTGAAGCAGCAACAACTTTTGACTCCATTTAGTTCTAAATTAAACTACTTTACCTTGGTAAAGGAAGTTCCACTTCTGCAAACTCTTCAGGTCTTTTGCTGACATTATCATGATGTACTTCATCAGGGATACAACAATCACCTTCTTCATCACTGGCTCCAAGAGCACTGTCTGAACTCTCATTCCTTGGAATGTCCCCTTCAGCTCTGAAGGAGCTTTTTCTTCCAGCATCCCCATAGGGGACATCTTTAGCACCTACTTTAGGGGAATCCTGTTTGACAGCACAACCTATTTCTACAGAGCTAGAGGAACAGTTCTGCAGATTGCCAGAGCATAAAGTTCTAGTTTCTTTCAGGCTTGGCAATTTTACGGTTTCTACATTATCCATGGGCAAAACTGGTTCACTAGATATTGTGTTCACTAAATTCATTTCAGCTTCTTTACTTTCTATATGTTGGTTAAGTAGATTCTCCTTCCCCTCACAAGGTGAGGTTTGTGCATAACAAACATCATGTTTACTGAAGGGTATAAAGGCAGCTCCACAACTTTCTTTTTGATTCCGGCAAGCATCCACAGGCAGATTTGTGGAAGTTGAGGCACAATGTATCACCTCTGGATTTTTTCTGAATGCTTTCAGATTTTCTTCCATTTCTCTTTTATGAGTTTCTAAGTCTGACTCTGGTGATGCAGAACTTCCAATCTGAAAAGTGACCTTTTCCAAGTGTGAACTCCTGTGGCAAGACCTTTCAGGACAAGGTAATGCAGATGACCTACCAGACAACTGGTTTTCCACTTTTGTCTCATTCTGATTCTTGTTCTTCTTTATATCTGTTAAATCCTCCAATTTAGATGGCTCTTCAAAGTGGTAGGATACAACTCCTGTATCAGTGACAATTCTTTTTCTACCATCAGCTGTTTCCTTACGAAAATTGCTAGTTAGACAGTCAACAGATGCTTCGGCGTTCTGACTGGCCTTTCCTATCGCTTCTTTCTTTTCTTTTGAAGAGGCTGGGGCAGCATGAGTGCTTTCTGGGTCATGTGCCCAGTCTGCAATACTATTGTTCTTACTTACATCATTCTTTGGAGGTAGGACTGGAGGCACAAGAGCAGGTTCATTTTTAACAGTGACAACGACATAATCGGACTCCTCTACCTCTCCCTTTTCTAGGGCAGTTGTGATCTTACTTCCATTTAGCACTTGCTCTCCTACCCCAGCCTTCTCACTCCACGTCAGCTGATTTTCCTGCAGCTCAGAGCACCGAATGAAGTAAGTTAGAACATAGAGCAAGCGCTGAACCAATTCCTTGCGTTTTCCAACAATAACAGTTCGAGTCAATCTCACTGGAGAGCCTATGGCACCATAGAGATCACCTATACAGGAAAACAAAACAAAAATCACATGTTTATGTTTGGTTGTGCTATAAGCTTAAATTCAACACATTTTGAAACAGCATTTACTATGGACACAAATCAGGCAGTTTGTTTCGTTCACAGTAAGTTCGTAAAAGTTTAAAACAAAGAATAACAAAAGATGACCCCTAGCACTCCTTATTCTTGGTTTTTGTCCAGAAGGGTTTTGGTGTTTTTGTGAGGGATTAGCTGCTATTACTCAGTTTCTTTCTGTTCAAAGCCACTAAAGATTTTACTTACATGATGCTCACAAGATATAATCACCTGGAAATTAACACAACACAGGGTGAAAAGGAATATAGATCCAGCTATACTATTTTCTATTTTTCTACTCATTTTCTTTCACATTAAAGTTGCTATGTTTTTACTGCAGTTGCTTTTTCTGTTAAACACAAGAATTTTCACACAGTTAAAATCTAAATTACTTTTTTCAGGACCAATATAGAAAAGTAATAAAGGATTCAATGTTAGCTTTATAAACAAGGTTCTGAAAAAAAGAAGCATGTAACTACCCGACTGGGCCAGGCATGCGCACTTCTAGGTACATGGAGTCAACCTCACTAACATGAGCATTGATCCTTGGCAGGGGGTGGCAGAGAACTAGAAAATGTATTCGCTAAAAATACAACTGCAAAATGAGAGGCAGACACTACAACAGAAGTGTGTCTCCCTCCTCAGTTCCCCCCAGGAACTGCCTATTTGCAAGCCTGTTTATCCTGGATAACTGCTGGGGTTTTGTTTTTCAAACAGAACTAAGATCATACATATCCTGCTTTCAACATATTTGTTTGGGAGAGTCATAACCGTCTTCAGCTGCCTATAATCCTCTATCAGCTGAGAGGTTTCTGCCCTGAAGTTCTGGCAGAGGTAAACATAGAAAGTAAATAAGGTAAGATGTCTTATCAGACAAAGATGGGTGAACTCAAGAGATGTCTATTACCAGGTTCAGTTAACCCAATTGTCTTCATCTGACACCTATGAGAGAACACTCATCAAATTGTCTTTGCCTAAGCAAACTGTGGCTGATGTCACCAGCAGACAGGAGACAACCATCAGCTCAATTTTCTTTATCCATCATAAGTGTTCACCCTGAAATCAGGCTTCTCTGAAGCGTGGCTTTATCAGCTACCTGCTAATCTACCCAATTTGTTTAGATGCCAAGTCCTTGCTCAGGGCTGCTCAAATGTTCTGGACCGAGTTTGCCACCAGGATTTTGTGCTAGACCTCAAGAAGCTACCCTAAATGAAAGTTAAAATCAGAGCTTCATGAACCTCTGGTTTCAACATGAGGAGACTAAAACAGAAAAAAAACCCCACACAACAAAAATACAAACACATTTATGCTCAGCCCCCTCTTCACCATACAGAACATAAAAGGAATAAGGCTCCCAACTCCATCCCTACAAAACAAGGATCAGTGAGACAGCAATTCCACTTCTTTCAGTTACTGTCACCCCTGCCAAGATCTGCCATTTCCCATAACGCCAGCAATGCATTGGAGAAGCTGCTGTGTGGTGGCATCAGCGTCTTCCCCCCCCCCATTAAGAACACCCTTGCAACTAGCCCCACAGCCTTAACACACCAGCAAATTCACTCTTCACTAATGGAAAGCGGGCTTCAGATTACTCAGCTGGAATTTGCGTCAATGCCAGGTGGGCTACAAGGACTAGCACTAGGAAAGGAAATGGGAAGATACCTTTTTACTTTTGAGTTGAGCAGAGTTGCTACGGAAATCAGATTCAGGCTTCATGTTCATTTGCACAATTGACTTTTAAATAAAACCATTACCAATAAGTCAGGACAAAAATTCAAAATTGTGGTTTTCAAAACATAGTAATGTCAACTGTTAGGACAAATAGATTGAAGTTGACATTTAAGACAGCATTATGCCTTCCTAACAGTGGTACTTATAGTTTTATCAGTATGTAATTGTAATTGATATGTAACAAAAACATGGGTCTGAGGGAGGAAGTATATAGGCACAGCAAAATCCTTTCCTTAACAAAAAGTAATTTCTATTTTAAAGCACTAAGCTCAATGAGTTTTTTGTTTCCCCTCCACCTCTTTCTAAAGACCACCAGCAGAGGGCAACATCTTACTTTCATTATCAATTATTGCAATGACCAGATAATGGCTTTTGGGCTTTATAGGAACAAAAGAAAAGCAGAAATAATTTTGAGTTCAGGTACTGAGAAATTGACTAGGCCAATGCTGGTAGCAACATACAACCTGGGGAGGTGAGATGAGAAATAGATTCTTGATTAGTCATCAGTGGTAGCTCCTGGAAGTGACCACAAGAGCTACTGTTGATCTTACACGTCCAGTCCAGCTGCTTTTTTTAGCCCCAGGCCTGGCTCCATTCTCAAAACCCTGAGCAAGCTGCTATTTTACCCTCCAAGTCTAATCCATTAGTCCTCTGCATAAACACTCTAAAGACATCCTAAACAAGGAAACATACCTGCCAATGTAGCAACTCTTACTTTTATAAAGATAGCTGAGAAAAACAAACATATCTGAGACAATTAGCAAGAAACAATCAGCAGCACAGTATAAAAGTCACATTATTGTTTTGGTGTACATGTGTGTTATTTTACATGGCAATATGTCAGTTAAAGTTAGGGCCAATCTGACATCAGACTCACAGCTGGTTCCTAAAGGAAGAATTTTCAGAAATATACCACTGGCAGCGTTATTCTCTCAGCTCTTACTCACCTACTCATTTGACAGCAGTTATTTAATCCCCTCTATCAAGATAACTTAAAAGCTATAAAATATTTGTCAAAGAACAGCCTGAGGACCTGGGCATAGAAAGAATATTTTGGCCCATGCCCACTCACATAGCTGTGAATGAATAGAGGTAGTGCCAGTTGCCAGACTTCTACTCTGTTGTCTTGGTGTCCATCCTAGCTCTGTGAGAAAGAGATAAAAGGACGTAGCCAGGGCAGTTTCAACTATGAACAGCCTCCAAGGCCCAGAGAACTCCCCTCTATCCAGTCTTGTTCTTCCCAGACTGTTCAGATTATTCACAGCATTTGCACCATCTTAATACTTCTGTACTAAATTACTTATCCAGGCAGTGTAACAGAGGATGATAATGAGGGACTAAGAAAAAAAGCAGAGGACTCAGGCTATTTAAACTGGCCTCCAAATTCTCTGTTTAACGAGGTGCAAGACACCTGTTGGTAGCTCTGCCCATCTTACAGCAAGGTACATCAGCAAGCGCGATCTGGATCACAAGTAGCTCTGAGATAAGAGGGGTGGACACAAGAAGGTGCTAGTTACAGACAAGTCTGAAGCTTTCTATTTCCTACTGACCAAGCTGTGCCCAGAGAGGGTTATATGGATGGGATTTTGCCAGCATGTTCACAGACTGTGATGTGCGCTTCTCGGAGAAGGCCTTTATGGGAGGATGGTCAACCGGCATTACTGTTGGGACCCAAGCCAGGTGGTATGTCAGCACAGCAGTTAACAAAGCAGCAAAGAACCTAGGAAAAAGAACATGACCAAAGTAACACCAGCAAAAGAATATCCCATTAAGTGCTTTAACACATGCACTAGGAAGCACACAAGCTTTTTTTTTTATTATTATTTTTT